ATAGAATTTTTTGGGGGAAAAAACTTGGCTATTTACCGAGGGGAAGACGCCGACTATCGGTGTCAATTTGTTAGTAAAAAAAACCCCTGCCGGGGGTTATTAGTTTTCCTGATATGTCTATAGCAAAACTTAAAATCTTCTTTGAAAAAACCCAAATAGCTAGAGTTTATATATTAAGCATGAAACATCTTCTAGTAAGTGTCTACAAAGTTTGTTCAAATAAAAGCCCTGGGGTCAAAACTGGCCCCGCCCCAGGGGTGTCATTGTTTTTAACTATATGTGTATAGTAAAAACTTTAAAAAATCTTCTTTTAAAAAGCCCAATGAGCTAGAGCTTAGATGTTTAGCATGAAACATCTTCTTATGGGTTTGGGGGGGGGGGCTATATACAGGTGAGCGACCTCAGGGCCATCATGGGCCTCTTGTTAAAGTTTTTCGATAAAGCTTGGACTAGATCTGGAGATCACGAGGCGCTTGACAAGAAGGCAAACAATTCCATAAAAATAAAGCGCACTGTGATTTTGTAAGACACAATACACAAATTGGCATATACATAGTGATATAACACGCACTTTAGGTGATATATTTGGATGATATACCAGTGTTTTTTTTCAGTTTTGGGGGAAGGGGGTCAGTGCCCATTGGGTGGGGAAAAATAGCGCGTAAATGCCAAAAAAGGGGAATTTTCAGTGTTATTAATATTCAATAAAAAGACTAAAAATACATGATTTTTTAACAAGCCTATAAAATAAATTAGTTGAACACTTTCTTCGCTTACTGTGTTTTCAAAATTGAAGTAATGCTATTGATAATTTTTTGTTTCTTATATTTTTCAGATTTTTTTTTCAATAACAACAAATGTTAACTCCACCAGCATATCATTAGCCATTATTCACACAAATTTATTTGTTATGCAATTTTGCATACATAATCGCAGTTTCTATAATCATAATTTATCATTTCTTTGCACTGGCAGACAAGTTATTTAGTGAATTGATTGGAAATATTTATATCATGTATTATTACTAAATAAAATACGCTGAGAAAAAAATATCGAGCATACCTCGGCTGACTTGCATTGGTCTGGTTTTTGATATTTTTCCTTTGAACCTAGCACAGAAAGTGCCTGCTGTTTAAAAAGAACATCAATACGTTTGTTCTTCGAGGAGCATTTTTTATTTATTATCTTTCGATAACATCGACTGTTGTGCGACATTTTTGCAGTAAATGCGATAGTCGTAAAAGCCGTAAAGATACAGCAACAATTCAACACATCGGCAGTTCGGAAACTTGATTTTCATCTTGTTACTGTAATCTCATTTTGATAGCGTATTTTTCTTTCATATTATAGTATTCTGTTTATTTTATACTTACCAAGTAGGCGAGTGTTTAATTATAAATATGTGCATGTATTATTTCATTAAAGCCAACGGTAAATAACAAACTCAATAACAAATTGTCGCGCTACCGTATTGTCTTACAGCCGCGGTAAAACGAACGACCTATGTCGCAAAGCAAGCGTAAAGTAAACATCCCTGATAATAATGATTGAGTTCATGAATTTGCTATGTGAATCAAAATAAATTGGCATATTTTACTTATGGTTTGTGTGTCTTCTTTTCTGTTTCTTGTTTGGGTATATTTTTTGACGGTGGGGAATTTTCGCAATTTCATGGGGAAAAATATATATTCCGAGAGGTGGGGAAAGGGGCCGAGTATCGCCGAATATTTCGACCAAAAAAAACACTGTATACAATACACAAATTGGCATATACATAGTAATATTACCCGCACTGTAGGTGATATATTTGGATGATATACAATACACAAATTGGCATATACATAGTAATATCACCCGCACTGTAGGTGATATATTTGGATGATATACAATACACAAATTGGCATATACATAGTGATATCACCCGCACTGTAGGTGATATATTTGGATGATATACAATACACAAATTGGCATATACATAGTAATATCACCCGCACTGTAGGTGATATATTTGGATGATATACAATACACAAATTGGCATATACATAGTGATATCACCCGCACTGTAGGTGATATATTTGGATGATATACAATACACAAATTGGCATATACATAGTAATATCACCCGCACTGTAGGTGATATATTTGGATGATATACAATACACAAATTGGCATATACATAGTGATATCACCCGCACTGTAGGTGATATATTTGGATGATATACAATACACAAATTGGCATATACATAGTGATATTCACCCGCACTGTAGGTGATATATTTGGATGATATACAATACACAAATTGGCATATACATAGTGATATTACCCGCACTGTAGGTGATATATTTGGATGATATACAATACACAAATTGGCATATACATAGTAATATTACCCGCACTGTAGGTGATATATTTGGATGATACACAATACACAAATTGGCATATACATATAATATTACCCGCACTGTAGGTGATATATTTGGATGATATACAATACACAAATTGGCATATACATAGTGATATTACCCGCACTGTAGGTGATATATTTGGATGATATACAATACACAAATTGGCATATACATAGTGATATCACCCGCACTGTAGGTGATATATTTGGATGATATACAATACACAAATTGGCATATACATAGTGATATTACCCGCACTGTAGGTGATATATTTGGATGATATACAATACACAAATTGGCATATACATAGTAATATTACCAGCACTGTAGGTGATATATTTGGATGATATACAATACACAAATTGGCATATATACATAGTGATATTACCCAGCACTGTAGGTGATATATTTGGATGATATACAATACACAAATTGGCATATACATAGTGATATTACCCGCACTGTAGGTGATATATTTGGATGATATACAATACACAAATTGGCATATACATAGTGATATCACCCGCACTGTAGGTGATATATTTGGATGATATACAATACACAAATTGGCATATACATAGTGATATCACCCGCACTGTAGGTGATATATTTGGATGATATACAATACACAAATTGGCATATACATAGTGATATTACCCGCACTGTAGGTGATATATTTGGATGATACACAATACACAAATTGCATATACATAGTAATATTACCCGCACTGTAGGTGATATATTTGGATGATATACAATACACAAATTGGCATATACATAGTGATATTACCCGCACTGTAGGTGATATATTTGGATGATATACAATACACAAATTGGCATATACATAGTAATATTACCCGCACTGTAGGTGATATATTTGGATGATATACAATACACAAATTGGCATATACATAGTGATATCACCCGCACTGTAGGTGATATATTTGGATGATATACAATACACAAATTGGCATATACATAGTGATATCACCCGCACTGTAGGTGATATATTTGGATGATATACAATACACAAATTGGCATATACATAGTGATATCACCCGCACTGTAGGTGATATATTTGGATGATATACAATACACAAATTGGCATATACATAGTATATCACCCGCACTGTAGGTGATATATTTGGATGATACACAATACACAAATTGACATATACATAGTAATATTACCTGCACTGTAGGTGATATATTGGGATGATATACAATACACAAATTGGCATATACATAGTGATATTACCCGCACTGTAGGTGACATATTTGGATGATACACAATACACAAATTGGCATATACATAGTGATATCACCAGCACTGTAGGTGATATATTTGGATGATATACAATACACAAATTGGCATATACATAGTGATATCACCCGCACTGTAGGTGATATATTTGGATGATATACAATACACAAATTGGCATATATATAGTAATATTACCCGCACTGTAGGTGATATATTGGATGATATACAATACACAAATTGGCATATACATAGTATATCACCCGCACTGTAGGTGATATATTTGGATGATATACAATACACAAATTGGCATATACATAGTTATATCACCCGCACTGTAGGTGATATATTTGGATGATATACAATACACAAATTGGCATATACATAGTGATATTACCCGCACTGTAGGTGATATATTTGGATGATATACAATACACAAATTGGCATATACATAGTAATATTACCCGCACTGTAGGTGATATATTTGGATGATATACAATACACAAATTTGCATATACATAGTGATATCACCCGCACTGTAGGTGATATATTTGGATGATATACAATACACAAATTGGCATATACATAGTTATATCACCCACACTGTAGGTGATATATTTGGATGATATACAATACACAAATTGGCATATACATAGTTATATCACCCACACTGTAGGTGATATATTTGGATGATATACAATACACACAAATTGGCATATACATAGTGATATCACCAGCACTGTAGGTGATATATTTGGATGATATACAATACACAAATTGGCATAAACATAGTGATATTACCCGCACTGTAGGTGATATATTTGGATGATATACAATACACAAATTGGCATATACATAGTGATATTACCCGCACTGTAGGTTATATATTTGGATGATATACAATACACAAATTGGCATATACATAGTGATATTACCCGCACTGTAGGTGATATATTTGGATGATATCACAGGGACATGAAGAGGCAGTTTCTTAAAATTTGTTACTGTGTCTAAATGTGTTTATGTTTTTGTTACTATTGAAAAACACACTAACAAATGACTTAAAATTTAATGATGACCATATAATTATTATTACTTTTTTATGTTTGTGCAATTAAAAATAAAATAAATTAAGTTTAAAGTATTGTATCTTTTCCAGGTTTCGAGCCCCATAAATTGAATTGAGATTATAAATGAAATTACATGTATATGTGATCAATTACGTTACATAAAAAATATTATATAAAAAATATGTTACAAGTTACACAAATTCTATATGCATTTTTTTCATCTGGAAATTATTTCATACATGTATTTTATTTTTGTATAATAATATATCAACCTTTGTCCTCAGGTAATTCTTAAACAGTGATAACATGGCATCTTCCTACGACAATTCCTCTGAGGAACAAACAGAACTACGCAGACTTCATCATAATCTTATCTCTGAAATTTACGATGATTTAGTTCAAAAAAGCATAGAGTATGAAAAATTATTTTTTCATTTCGGAACTTATGTGCCTCGAGGATTAATTGCCAATAAATCGAGTCTAGATAAATTTGAAACTTTATGCACCAGAAAAATCATAACACCAGGAGAAAATTATGAAAAATTGAAACAGATATGTCGAGACAGTGGAAATGATATTTATGTAGATACAATAGAAAAATATGAAAAGGAAATGGAAAAAGTTCGATCTCAACATAGATATACAGGTATGTACAAATAGAAATTCAAGTTTATCTGAAAGAAAAAAAAAACTTTTTTATTTGATGTATACATGTACATATTATAATGAAAATGTAATTGCATACTATGTCACCCTTTTGAACCAGTTACTAAACATACTTATTATAATGTAATTGCATACTACGTCACCCTTTTGAACCAGTTACCAAATGATAACAAAAAACAGTCAAAGATATGAATGATATTTTAAAGATTACTACTACCCCGTCCCTAGATTTGCCACTACTTGCCAGCTATTTCCACTGAAAAGGGTGGCATTAAGTGTAAAAAAGGTGGCATTAACTGGAAAATGACAAAATTCCACTCTTTTTCCACTGTAGTGGCAAAATTGCCACCAAATGCCACTATCCTTTGGTGGCATTTAGGTGGCATTGAGTGGAAATTTGAACATAGACTTTTTTTATGGTGGCAAAAGGGTGGAAATTGGTGAAAAATGAAACTTAGTTTATTTTGAAGGTGGAAAATTAGTGGCTTTTAGTGGAAAAGTGAAACTCTTACTATTTTCTGGGTGGCAAAATAGTGAAAAAAAACTTAGAAAATTTTGTGAATAACTTTAAGTCGAAAGGGGAAACTCTTAACTATTTTCTGGGTTGTATAAAAATTGGTGGAAAAAACTGAGAAATCTAATAATTGTGCATAATGCAGGGTTTAAGATTTATTTAAGTCAAAGCTCCAAACTGAAATAAATCTGTTTATAGTTTGTACTCTACCAAAGCATCAAGTGAACTTTTTATCAAAAATATAATTTATTGAAGTTGAACAGTTAGAAAATTTTATCAGAAACTCATATTTCTTAAACATACTAGAATGCCATGAACACAATTCTGATACAAAGTCACTGCCTCACAGTAACAGTATGATAATTCCAGCTGTAAAGTAGCAGGAAAAGACACAGAAATTGGACGTAAAATCACTTTTCCAGGCGTTAAACACATATAATTATGATCAGGAAAAATTAGAAAAGTATGGGGTTACTTAACTTCCCATTTTTTAAGGCGGTACATATTTTAGGGATGTAAAATTTGACTTTCAAGTCAAAATGTTTATGTTCCATTCTATGTTTGTAAAATAAAATTACGGCTTTTAAAGTGTACTTTGTTCTTTAGTTATAATCTGTACATTAATTAAATAGTTGAAATGTTCTTCTATGCCCAGAAAATGCATATCTCTGCATAAAGTTTGTTGCTTCTTCTATGATATTTAATGTCAATCTTGAATAAAGTTTGACTTTTGTCTTTTCTTCTAATTGACATAATAAATTGTCTCTTCAATATTACTTTAAACTGATATCTGGTGAGTACTAACACTTTTCATGTAATGCTTACAATAATTAAAGTGAAAAATGCAAAGGGCAATAACTCCAAAAGTATGCAAAGAGTTATGGTTCTTAAACACAGCACATTACTCAAAAAGATCTATATCTGTGAAGTTTCAAATTAATATCTCCAGTACTTTTTAAGCTTATGATCAAGACAAAAATTAAGCATAGAGAAGTAAAAAATGGCAATAAACCCCAAATCATGCAATAAAAAGTTATGGTTCCTTGGCATTGTAACTTCTCTTAAATGAGATTTAGTTATATGTGGAGTTTAAAATTATTGTCTCTAACATCTTTTGTGCTATGCTTTCAGAGGCTTTAAATCTATTGTAAAAATTAATGTGTGAAAAGTAAATAAGTCTTAATGTCTGATAAATTTCTTACAATCAGGATAAGTAAATACTAGCTAGTAAATACTGCATCCTCTAAGATTTAACAACACAGCATACATCTCAGATCTGATAAAACTACTGCCCTCTTATCTAGTAATCTCTGAATGGGGGTTAATAGTTTACTCATGCTGACCAGAATGTTCCATTTGATTATTTCGGGAGAGGCAACATTATACATGTTTTTATGTAGAATTTGTCTTAAAATAGCATGCTAAATTATCTTTCAAAAGCTTATTTCTACTCAATCTATTTAGGTATTAGATATAGTTATACATTCAAATGAATGTAAAAAATAAAATGATGGGTGCTATGGTTTTTGGAAAATCCCTCACAATTTAAAATTATAATGGACTGTCCATGCAGTTACACCATTGTAAAGTTTGAATTCAAAGGAATTGAGGTCAGTTAAAGCTTGCAAACACAAAGGAAATTATTGATATTGTAGCAATTCTGGAGATATTTTGTTTAAAATGTAAGAGTGCATATTTTTGATTTCTCAAAGAAAACATTTAAAGTCTTATTAGTGTGGTAAATATAAATGAGAAGTTTAAACTGAAGTGTGAATGTGTAGACAAGAAGATAAACAGCAGAATCATTCCCAGTCAAAGTTTCAGGTAAACAACTTTTACATACAATAATTATTGTTATTTATGCAGAAACTGTTTAGTTTTTTGACAGTAAAAATATGAAGTGGTATTGTATAAGATTGTGTTTTATATTTGTTTTGTTTGTAACTTGACTAAAAAGAAAGCTGCATGTACAATGTACATATAAAGAATGTAGGAATATAAAGAATGTAGGAAGATCTTCATCATTTCTTAAATACAATATGTTAGAAATTTTAAGTTTGAGAAAAAAATTATAGAAATTAATCAGTAAGTACAATATCATTATGTACAATATTACATCAATCAAACTATAGATAACCTGAGGTACCTATTACTACAACTTTCATGCTATAAACAATTTTCCTTGTGTGTCACATGTGGAGCAGATTAACAGTAACTGATTTATTAGTAAGTTTCATTCCTTCATTGTTGTAATTCAGCTTTCATGGTGCAGTAGATAATTATATAACCATAACTAGACAGTCTAGAGTAACATGCTATTAGGAGAATGACAGTTCATAACAGAAACAGCATTAAATAAGAATTATTATTTTGCAGACACAAAGCAATGAGGAGCAGTCTGGAGCAACACATTTGATCTTCAGTGGCTTTACAAAGGTATCTTGTTAATTCAAAGTTATTTTAGAATTAATAGGAAAGAAGTGTCACAGTACCCAATAAGACACTTTTCAGTTCTTGATAAATATAGCTATTAGTCACTACTTACAAACCTACTTTAATTCCAACTCTTTATGACACTTTAATTTGCATTTACATTTTGTTTTACAAATTTTAGAGTTTTTGTACATTTTAGCATGAAAATTTTATCAAATATTTATCCTGATGAAGGTTCGTTAAGAACTGAAACTGGAAGATTATTAATTACTCAACCTGCACTGGTGTTGATGTGTTGTATTTCTTTATTTCTTTCTTATTTTAAAATTTTAGAATTGTATACATATACCAAGGTCTTATAAAAGTGTTTCATTTTCTGTCTTTACATATTAGATATTGATAATCATTTTCTGTCTTTACTTATTTGATATCGTTAATCATAATTTAGGACCAAGTGATGGCAGAACTGAAGCTATATGCCTCAAAAGAGAAAGGTACAGCAAAGCTCTTCAGAATGCTATTCAATATAGAAGAGATTAAAGGCCGCTCATTGTTTGGTATGAGGAAAGGGAACAGAGAGTCTGACACCAGACCTTTTTGTGCAGACAAGGCAAAACTTAAGTTCTTGGAAGGTAACTAATGAACTGAATGAAAATATCATTTTGGATTCTGCGTATATTTTCTGCCTTGGAGTAAATAAGAAAAGTCTGATTCTTCCCTGTCTGCAGTGCTGTTTTTTAAAGTGTTTTAATCATATCTATGCACTCAAATTGAATATAGAAATATCCAATAGTCATATAAAATTGTAAGCTTATGTTTTTAATTATTGTTTTAATCATTCATAATTTTTTTAGTTTTAGATTGTGCTATCGAAAAGTTGCCGACAACCTAAAGGACTGAACTCAAACCGTCCAGGAATAGCAAGATAAACTGAAGAAAATAAATGGACTAATGTTTTGCTATTTTTTGAGACAATATATAATTTCATATGGGAACATTAAAAAGGATTATTTTTAAAATTTGTTTGTTTCCAATTTAGGGTACAGGGTGACTTAATTTCAAGCAGTTTCCAGCTATTGCCACCCACAAGGTGGAAATTTTCTGAAAGGGTGAAAATAGGTGGCATTTAGTGGAAACTGAATTTGCCACTATCTGGTGGCAAAATGGTGGAAAAGTGTCTAAATACTCCACCAATTTTCCACCCTTATGGTGGCAAAAGGTGGAAATAAGTGGCATTTGGTGGAAAATAAGTTTGCCACTCAATGGTGGCATAATGGTGGAAATTTGTCTAAATACTCCACCAATTTTCCACCATTATGGTGGCAATAAGTGGAAACAAGTGGCATCTAGTGGAAAATGAGTTTGCCACCCTAAGGTGGCATAATGGTGGCATTATGGTGAAAGTTTGTCTAAATACTCCACCAATTTTCCACTCATTGGTGGCATTTAGTGTAAAAAAGGTGGAATTAACTGGAAAATTATATAACATCAGTCCTGCTCAAATTTTTCACCATTTTCATGATTTGGGTGGCGTTTTGGTGGCATTATTGGTGGAAAATTGTCTAAATACTCCACCATTGAAAAGGGTGGCATTTTAGTGGCAAATCTAGGGACGGGACGGTATATATTTTTCCTCTATAATTTTGTTCAAGAGATGATCTTCTAAATTACTAGTACTTGTATTCATTAACTGAAGTATTACTTTAGAACGGTAATCATAATGCTTTTATTCAGTTTGGAATTTAATACATGGAGATATCAATTTTGAGTGCATTTTTAAATGATTATCATTACAAAAGCCGTCAAAGATATGAATGATATTTTAAAGATTACTACTACGGTATATATATTTTTCAAGATCTTCTAAATTACTAGTACTTGTAATCATTAACTGTCTGAAATATTACTTTAGAACGGTAATCATGTTTTTATTAGTCCCCTACTGGTTTAACCGGAGGGGACTTTTGGTTTACCGTCCGTCTGTCTGTCCATCTGTCTGTCCGTCCGTCCGTCCACAAAACTGGATCCCGCGATTACGTAAAAAGTACTGAAAATATTTTTATGAAACTTGATATATGGATAGATGGCGGTATGGAGATTATACACTTCTTTTTCTTTTCTTCCTATGTTGAAAATTCTTGTTGCCATGGCAACAAATAGTCTGAAAATATGGCAAATTTAACACATAAACTGGATCCAGTGATAACTCAAAAAGTACTGAAAGAAAATATTTTTATGAAACTTGAAATATGGGTAGATGGCAGTCTGGAGATTATGCACATCTTTTTCTTTTCTTCCTATGTTGAAAATTCTGGTTGCTATGGCAACAAATAGACTGGATTTTAAGATTTCTGATTTAAATTTTTCAGCTTTTTCACTATAAGTTCTTGATTTCTTAAGGTGTTTACTTCAAACTTTAAATACAAGTTTCTAGTCATCAACCACATCATATGTGGCAAGGCACAAAAATTATCAGTACTACCTCCCTTGAACTTAGAATTTTTATGAAAAAAAAAGTTTTCTTTTTTAAATAACTTCTTTATTTCCCAATGTATCTACTTCAAACTTCATATATATATATCACTCAACATTTTTGAGAAGGTTAAATACTCTAGCAAGACTATTTCCAGAATTATGTCCCCCTTGAACTTAGATTTTTTTCGAGAAATTGGTATTTTTTACTCCAACTTCTTCATTCCTTATAGGATTTACTTTAAAATCCCACATCGTAATAATATGACAAGGTTGTATAAACATAATTTCCTTACTAGGCAGGGAAACTTAACACATTACTGTGATATATATAGACAAACTTAGAACTCAAAGTTTAAGTTCATTCATGTCATTCATTCACTCAGGTAAAATTGAATTGCCAATGGCCCATCAGAATGTTGCTGGGTTTTAACCGGTAGGGGACTTATGGATTGCTTGCAATACTATGATAATTGCTTGTTCAGTTTGGAATTTAATACATGTACATATCAATTTTGAGTGCATTTTTAAAGAATTATGCATGGTTAGCATTCAAATGCACAGGTAGAGCATAATCACGAAGACCGATACTCTGGAGTGATTTATTACAAAGCATTTGAACAATAATCCATGCATTATGATATTATAATATAGAACAAATAACATATATTTCCATTCTAATACATTAAAGGAATTAATTAGAATATGGAAAAATTATATTAAGGGTAATGATATTCTCACTGACGTCATTTAGTTCATTGACGTCATATATGACAGCACATAACCTATTTTTGTGTATATGTATTGTGTTTTAATACCTATGTTACTATATATAGTAACAAAATCTAGGGTATTTCAGGGCCATTATGGCAAGATCTAGGTCATTATGCAATTTTGGCCGCCTTGCTACTCGGCATTATTTTTCCATAATGGGCGAGTGAATGAGCGCACGTGCAGAATGACGTCATCAACTTTCAAGATGACTGCTGACGTGAAAAAATGTGAAGAGTAGGGTTCTGTATTATTGATAGAAATAACAATATAACAACATTTTCTTATATTTATTTTGTGTTGTATTATGCACATCTTTGGGCCATTATCGCATAATGGCGAGCAGCAACCAAGTATTAACCTCTAAATAATATACTTTATTGTCCTATCTGTTTGAAAGGAAAATAGTACGAAGCGTGTTAGAATAATAAAAATTCTGTAGTTGGCTTTTAATTTGTTATAAATGACTCGATCGACATCATATTATAACAGAACATTCTTTAAGATAAGACATTTATAAAAATTTAACTCAAACTTACCTTGGCTCTTTAATGACCTTGATGGTCAATTAATAAAAGGATCATCTGCATATTTAAAAAAAACAAAACAGGACCTTCTAAAGGATTGAACTGATCAAGATCTTGAGCTTTAAATGACCTTGACCGTCCAAGTCAAATTATTGAATTTTGGTTTAAATTATCTTAATTTTGTTATTTGAGTTATTTAGGGCTTGGACAAAACAAGACTTGCTACCAATTAAACGTAAGGAATGATTTAGATGTGACCTAGATCTTAAATCTTGTAATTCCGTTATTGATCAATGAACATCATATTAGGTCACAAAATCATAAAAGCCAGGACCTGGATGTATATCAAACTCAAATTGACCTTGACGCATGTATGACCCTGACCTTGATGATCAAAGTATTTAATTTTTACTGGTGATTTGTATAATTCGTTGTACTTGTAACTTGGTTTTTAATCAATACTAGATTATTTTCATACTTAGACAAAACAAACTTTAGGATTTGAATCACACGTTGAATAAACAACACTTGTGACCAAACAGACATGTATAATAATTAAGATATGTCATTGATGTTTAAATGACATTGACCATTAAATGATTGAATTTTGATTATATTTGTATATATAACTTTGTCATTTACAGTTCAGCTCGAGTGTAATGTACAATTTGTGTGCTTCCTCCGCAATCAACGTTTAAGCGAACTCATTTATGATTAATCCCCCTCGTTTTTCTGAGAGTAATCGCGGAGAAACACCCATGATCATGCACAATCGCAGAGTTTTTAGAGAGGGTAAAGGTATTATCGTGGAGATTCTCCAAAAAAATCACGATTTATAAGTTGATATTATATTTAAAAATTATCCTTTTTCATTAAAGTACATTTTAATTTTAAGTACATAAAGTTCTTTTCCATTTTATTAAAAAGAAACTACAGTCTTATATATTTGTGTTTTGAAATTTGTAGGTCCACAGGAAGCTGAGAAAAAACATACAGAATCAAAAAGAAAATTTACTGTTCCTCAGACAGAACAAAAAGAGGTAGAATGTGTTTCTTTTGCTTTTTCTGGTTAATATACTGGTACATGTATAACTGTTTGTTTCTGGTTAATATACTGGTACATGTATAACTGTTTGTTTCTGGTTGATATACCGGTATATATAATTATAACAAACAACCATGGTTTAAAAATAACTATTATTTGTATGGTAAACCAGTATTATTAAATTGCTAAGGCACACAATTTGGTTAGCAAGCTTTGTAATTTCATGATGCTCTTTTTAGCTCACCTGTCACAAAGTGACGTGACAGGATGAGCTTTTGTGATCGCTTTTCGTCCGGCGTCTGTCCAGCTTCCGTAAACTTTAACTTTAAATGACATCTCCTCATAAACCAATAAGCCAATTTCATCCAAACTTCACAGGAATGTTCCTTTTGTGGTCACCTTTGAAAATTGTTCAAAGAATTTAATTCCATGCAGAACTCTGGTTCCCATGGCAACCAAAAGAAAACACTTTAATTTATAATATCTTTTTCTAAAACATCCAAAGAGCTAGAGCTTAGATATTTGGCAAGAAACATCTTCTTGTGAGTGTCTACCAAGTTTGTTCAAATAAAAGCCTTGAGGTCAAAATTGGCCCCGCCCCAGGGGGTCATTGATTTTCCCTAGATTCATATAGTAAAAACTTAAAAATCTTCTTTTAAAGAACCCAAAGAGCTAGACCTAAGATATTTAGCATGAAACATCTTCTAATGGGTGTCACCAAGTAAGTTCAAATAAAAGCCCTGGGGTCAAAATTGGCCCCGCCCAAGGGGACATTGATTTTCCTTATATGTGTATAGCAAAAACTTAAAAATCTTCTTTGAAAAAACCTGAATAGCTAGAGTTTAGACATTAAGCATGAAATATTTTCTAGATAGTGTCTACAAAGATTGTTAAAATGAAAGCCCTGGGGTCAAAACTGGCCCTGTCCCAGGTGTATCATTGTTTTTAACTATATGTGTAAAGAAAAAACTTGAAAAAATCTTCTTTTAAAAAACCCAACAAGCTAGACCTTAGATGTTTAGCATGAAACATCTTCTAATGGGTATCTAGCAAGTTTTTTTAAAAGAAAAGCCCTGGGGTTTAAACTGGCCCCGCTCCGGGGGGCCTATATACAGGTGAGCGACTTCAGGGCCATCATGGCCCTCTTGTCATTAGTTACACAGTAGAAATATGGTGATAAATGCTGCAAAATTCATCATTAATGGCATAGAACATGTTATATTAATATCCAACTCACTTGGATTTTGACATCTGTCCAACACTTTCGGTTAAGTTTTTCAAATCACCCTGTGGATATTGACAGAATTGCCCTTTTTTGAAATATATAATTTTTCGTACCACCTCACTTATTTCCTATACCTTTTGAGAATTTTCTTTGAAATGATGTGCCCTGATAAAGAACTATTATCCAGACCTGGGGATGATTACATTGATCAGTATTTAATTAATTACAATTACTTTCACATTTTATTGTGATTGATTATTATTGATTACTCAGACTTGCCTCTGTAATCAATTAAATTACAATTACTTTACGACTTTGACTTTGAATAGAGTAATTGATAAATAATTGATTACATTCAATTTAAAGTAGAATCCCTTTTTTTAGACCACCCCTGAATTAAGACCACCCCCTTATTAAGACTATTTTTACAAGGTTCTTTATGTCAATGGTTACATGATCCAGAAAAAAGAAGAACCGCTTTTCCACTTTAAAGACCACCTGATTCAGTTGAAATTCTTTGCTTTATTCTTAATTTGATCCAACTATTGAGGCCACTTATATTAAAGGCAACACTTATCTAGATCTTAAATTTGTTGTTGTGATCTGATGACACTTAATTTCACAAGGTGTGAAACACTGTTATTATTGGATCATTGTATTTAATAAGGTGAGAAGGTAAATTTTAGAGTGGTTTAATGTTGCTTTCAGCAATTTTATTTTGTGAAGAATTAATTTTTATTTATTAGGTGATTTATATATTATATTTTTTATTAGAGTCTCATCCATACATAACAACATAAAACAATTCAATTACATAAATTAAAAAAAAATAAAAGTTATCTATGTACGGCCATTCTAATCAGAATTACATTTTATTATTTATTCATTATGTACATCATATCATAATTGATATTGAAATCGGACCAAAGAGAATTTTATGTTAAATTTCTTCAGAAATATGTTTCCCTCTTATCAGATATCAAAGAATACTTTTATAGTGTCTTTTATATTGTATTTGTAGCTTAAGATACATACCATCTTTTTCTCATACAAAATGACTAAAACAGACCATGGTCATAGAGTATGTAAGCAATGATAAGACTATTCACAATAAAGACCACCCCACAATTAAGACCACTTTGGTCTATACTAGATGATGGTCTTAATCAAGGGCTTTTAATGTATAAATGTAAAACAAAAGTTAAACTGTATAATGTGAAATAAAGGCATTATTTGAATTAAAATAGTTTCTTGTTAAATCCAAAAGTAATCAATGTCAATCAAATTGTAATCACAATTACTGACTAAATTTTAGCTGTAATTGATTAATTACAATTAAATTAATCAAATTTGGGTAAGGTAATCAATTACATGATTATTACATTGTAATCATGTAATCAATTAAAAATCAATGATTACAATTAATGGTTACCCCAGGTCTGCTATTATCCCAACTGCTAGGTAAGTTGACATAACTCTGTCTTGGATTTTGACAAAAAAATGACACTTTTTCGACATTTGGATAGATTTTGTACTACCTCACATCTTTAAGCTTTGAAACGTTTATGACAGCCACCCCCACTTTCAGGCCAAGTACTTATAATAGTCTTATTAACTCATCAGAGTAAAACTTGCCTATTCCTACTAAGCAAATGTGATGCCAAACATCTCCCATATGTTCTTTAAACAACATCTGATCTATTTTGACAAAAAAGGAGTTATCAGTGGGTGGTCTTTTACTAGAGTCCTTAAAATGATTTAGGTTGTTTGCATGAGTAGCCTAAGATAAGCACAAGTTTCGGCAATATCCGGTTAACGCCCCCTGGGGGCATTTGCCGTTTAGGTGTGATCTGGGTCATTTAAACGCTTGCCTTCAAAAAGTATAAATAACGCTTTAAAATGCCTGTGAGCAGGAAGGTCACGTGCATAAACTATCAAATGAACCCAGTCAAGAAATATAACAGCATTTAACCCGTTAACATAAACGAAGGCAAAAATCAATATTCTTAAAAATTCAATGTCTTATACTATATAGCCAAAGATTAGCAGGTCCAACTATATCTTAAATAACCGTCCATGATCGTAAATTTCACGATTTCTGTTTGACATTTCTTTACTTTATGCACAATAGCAATCGCGAGAGTCACGAAATTATTGTGACCCTATTTATGTATTTATCCATATATGGTAGTAACACATAAAACAAGATTTCAATAGGGTTCACTACGGGAGAAATAGCACCTGTGAATTTACCCAGTTAATAATGAATGATTATAATAATTTCCTTTGTACACAACATATGTTCATTCCGTAAATTGAATTCACTAACACACTTCACCCAAAAGATTGCAAATCCCATTTCCTTCCCTGAGAAATCTTATCCTTCAGTGACATGCTGTATATGCAGAAATATTATAGCTGTCTTATATATACTCTGGTTATCTCATCCGGGGCAGAAAACCAGAGTATATATATAGCGACAGATATATTTCATTCTATATTAAAATGCTACTGAAGGGGAAGTTCTCCCCGGGAAGAGGGTTTTCTTCGGGGGCCTTTATAATTAAAAAAATGGGGCTTGGCATTGTTTTGGGGGAAGTATCTGAATGACATTTTACGGAATGAACGTATACATATATGCTAGAAGGTAAATCACCCGGGTGCTATTCCTACCATTACATCTGCGTATAAGGAATCTTTCCCGGGTGAGTTGCCTTCTACGGTAAATGTGTTCATTCCGTAAAAAGAAGTCATTAAGACACTTCCCCAAAAAGAATACCAAGCCCCATTTTCTTAAGCATTGAAGCCCCCTAAGAAAACCCTATTTCTTGGAAGAACTTCCCCTTCAGTAGCATGTAAGTAATGCTTTATAAATATCAGTCGCTATATATATACTCTGGTTATCTCACCCGGGGCAGAAAACCAGAGTATATATATAGCGACAGATATATTTCATTCTATATTAAAATGCTACTGAAGGGGAAGTTCTCCCCGGGAAGAGGGTTTTCTTCGGGGGCCTTTATAATTTAGAAAATGGGGCTTGGCATTGTTTTGGGGGTACTGTCTGAATATATATATTACGGAATGAATGACATTTAAAATAAAAAGGCAACTTTCCCGGGACGTTTGCCTACGCTAGTTAAACATAGTCGGAAACTCTCCCGGGGCATTTGCCTTTTGACAATATATATAATGTCGATATGGACCATACTTTCAGCTTTAATAACATTCATTCCGTTAATTATTCTACCAAATGTGACTGGGCATTGTTTTGAAGGAAATGTCTGAAAATACTTTCTTACGGAATGAACCATATTTAAAACAAAAAGGTAACTTACCCGGAACGAAAATGTATGCGTATCGTTGTTTTACATTGTAGGCAATTTTCCCCTTACTATTTTATATGAATTTCACATAATCCATCAAATAACCACACAAAATAAATAAGCTTCCATTACAAAATTGGGATTTAAATCAGTACCTAAAAAGTACTATTAGTTCACATAATGTATCCCTTTTGTGGCCCACGAATTTAAAAAAGAAAAACACGAAAAAGGCGTGCTTTCTCATCCACGTGAAATCCGCTACAACTTATTTTACTCATTACATTACATAACTATGTAGAACTTTGTGATGGACGAAATTCAGAAATATTTTAGCTTTTGTATATTAATTATTGGTCCAGCAAGCGTATGACCTGATGTGATCATAATGCTTTTTTATCCAATTATTTAAATAATAATTAACTTGCTAAATTGTATTATTTTACATGGGCGGCGATTTTAGTTCATGGGAGGGGGTTAAGCATCATGTGATTATTTTGAGATTTCAACTTCTATATATATGTATCACGTGACTAATTACAATATGCAAGCGTCTTAATGACACAGATGAAAATAACAATCGCGCACAAACAGAGGTAAAAAAAATAATGAAATGCAAATGCCCCCAGGGGGCGTTAACCGGATATTGCCCAAGTTTCACATAATGGTATTATTCAAATAATACTATATGTAACTTCTAGATATATAAAAACTATTACAAGTATTTAACATTTATTCTTAAATGAGACGTTTTAATGATAAACAATGATTATATGAAAATATAAAATAGATATGTTGATAAGAAGTAGTCTTGAAGAATAAAGTTCCCATGAGCTAAAACTTTTCAGATGAGCAATGTTAAAATCTCACAAGAAACTAACATGCCCTGACTTGTAGTTTTACAGTTTTGTAGCCAACCCCACTCCTTGTAGGTATCTATTTAAGTAATAGAAATCATGCCCGCAGGGCCTTCCCCAGGCCAATTTAGCGCCCCGGCACCGGGGCGCTTGTTTTTCCGTTTACGGATCACTCACTGTAGGTATCTATTTAAGTAATAGAAATGAATGACCAAACATAAAGGTACATAATAGAGGTAATAAGTGTAGCATTATGTAGACAGAAACATTGGCTGAGATATGAAAATCATAATAATGGGTCAAATAGAGCCATGCCCCTTGGAAATGAATGACCAAACATAAAGGTACATGGCTTAAGTATAGCATTATGCAGACAGAAACATTGGCTGAGATATGAAAATCATAATAATAGGTCAAATAGAGCCATGCTTCAGTTGCATGATTTAATTTATAACTTTGACTTAAGGTATTAGGACCCTAATGGGCACTATCAGGAACTAAAAAATTGACATCATAAGTCAGATGTATACCTTAAAGTACACCTGTATGCAAAATTTAAACAAAGTTTACCGTACGGAAATCAAGTTATGGCCTCTTTTCTGAACTCAAGCTAGGATGTTATGAGGGCCCTTTTTTAGAAAGTAGGAACCTTTAAATAAGCTGCAATAACATTCTAATGAAAAATGTTTTCCCATTAATTTTTAGTAAGAAACAAATAGTACCATTCAGCTAACAATCCAAATAAGGTTAAATGGGGTTAAAATTGGCCCCGCCCAGGGGGTCATTGATTTTCCCTATATGCATATAGTAAAAACTTAAAAAATCTTCTTTTAAAGAACCCATATAGCTAGAGCTAAGATATTTAGCATGAAACATGTTCTAATGAGTGTCTACCAAGTTTGTTCAAATAAAAGCCCTGGGGTCAAAATTGGCCCCGCCCCTGGGGATCATTAATTTTCCTTATATATGCATATAGTAAAAACTTAAAAAATCTTCATTTAAAGAACTCAGAGAGCTAGAGCTAAGATATTTAGCATCAAATATGTTCTAATAGGTGTCTACCAAGTTTGTTTAAATAAAAGCCCTTGGGTCAAAATTGGCCCTGCCCCGGGGTCATTGATTTTCCTTATAATTATGTGTAAAGCAAAAACTTAAAAAATCCTCTTTGAAAAAACCCAAATAGCTAGAGTTTAGATATTAAGCATAAAACATCTTCTAGTGAGTGTCTACAGAGTTTGTTCAAATAAAAGCCCTGGGGTCAAAACTGGCCCCGCCCCAGGGGTGTCATTGTTTTTAACTATATGTGTATAGTAAAAACTTAAAAAAATCTTCTTTTAAAAAGCCCAATGAGTTAGAGCTTAGATGTTTAGCATGAAACATCTTCTTATGGGTGTCTACCAAGTTTGTTCAAATAAAAGCCCTGGGGTCAAAATTGGCCCCGCCCCAGGGGGTCATTGATTTTTCCTATATGCATATAGTAAAAAATCTTCTTAAAGAACTCAAAGAGCTAGAGCTAAGATATTTAGCATTAAATTAAGCAAGTTTGCAACTAGCTTGTCGCAAGCTTGCAACTAGCTTGTCGCAAGCTTGTGGTGCCTTTCAAATCTAAAGCATGCATTGCATTTTTGAAAACAGGCTGCAAGCTTCCCGCAAGCTTGCGGCAAGCTTGCCGCGAGGTTCCAATTTTAAGCTTTCCGCAAGCTTTATGTGCAAGTTGCGACAAGATTTTTGCAAGCTTTTATAAAGCTTGCGATTTTGGTTTGGGTACTTAAATTACCAATATTACTGTAAACAATAGACATTTTAGAAAATTACTGAATAAAACACAATTATTTGTATTATTAATTATGTTGCAGGATATAAAAAGACTCAAGATAGAAGATTCTCCTCAACAAAAACAGTTAGAATATGAAAAGGCTAAATCAGGTATGTTATGTAGAATATGAAAAGGTTAAATCAGGTATGCTATATAGAATATGAAAGGGATAAATCAGGTATATTATATAGTAAATGAAAAGGTTAAATTAGGTTTGTTATATATAATATGAAAGGGCTAAATCAGGTATGTTCTATAGAATATGAAAAGGCTAAATAAGGTATATTATAAGGAATTTAAAAAGGCTGTATAAGGTACAAAATACATGTATATTATATAGAAAATGAAAAGGCAAAATCTGGTATGTTATATAGAATATGAAACGTTAAATTAGGTATGTTATATATAAAATGAAAAGGCTAAATCAGGTTTGTTATATAAAATATCAAAAAGCAAAATCTGGTATGTTTCTATAGAATATGAAAGTTTAAATTAGGTATGTTATATATAGAATGAAGGGGCTAATAAAATTTTAATCAGACAAGGCTAGATATCAGGTATGTAAAGGCTAAATAGGTATGCTTCATATAATATTATAAGGCTAAAACAGGTGAATTTTGCCCGAATTGTGATAATTTTATCATATATCTTTGTATTTAATTTATACTTTTACAAAACAACACTTACTACAAAATAATCATTTCAATGTAAGGGAACTCTCTAGTTTGTGAGGGAATCTTGTAATGTTAAGATAATTTGTGAGTTTTGCTTTCAATAAATTTCAGGTTGTCGTACTCAATTGATAGAACATTATCGCAGTGACGTACTTAAAGTATCAGCAATACCTTTACAACCAGATGAGGAAAATTATAATTTCAGTGACGTTTATATTAGACCCACTATAACAAGCAAAATAGAAAAGAATAGAGGGGAGTCTGAGGAAAAAGAAATAGAGTCCATGTCAGAGATTTTCACAAAGAACGGGGATCCACAGAAATTTATTTATGTTGTTGGAGATGCAGGGTATGGTAAGAGTAGTTTCTGTAAATATTTGATCAACTGTTGGTGTATGGCACACAGTGATGGACACAATGAAAATGATGAGTTTGAAGGAGTCAAGGAAATGAAGAAATTTGATTTCATGTTTTATATTTCTCTTAGACATAACATAAATGTCCGAAGTATCCAGGAAATGCTTGAAATGCGATATGGTAAGATAAAAAATTTAAGTAAACTTCTTGAAAATGATTCTGAAAAGATAATTATTTTGCTTGATGGTTTAGATGAATGGTCTTTTGACAGTGAGACTAGGAATGAGTTCCAGACAGGCCTTCCGGAACGTGACTTTACAAAGAAATACACCATTGTTACTACATCACGGCTATGGAAAATTCACAGTTTGAGAGTAAGTAAAAGAGAGATTCATCAATTATTGGAATTAAAAGGGTTTGATAAAACACATGAAAAAGAAATGATTAAGAAAACAATAACAGCATTGAACGAATTATTAGATCCTAATGTGTGTGAACAAAAGCTTAGGATACCGTCTGTGGTTGGCCTGAAACAGGTACCAATTATGCTGCAACAATTGGTTTGTCTATGGTGTGATGGTAAACTCGATAAAACCTCAAGGTGTGCTATTTATACTGGTATGTTAGAACTTTATTTCACCTGGAATATCAATAAAACTTTAGGAAATAATACAGAATGTATGGAAAGTTCTCAGAATGTTGAACTCCCTCAGTATTTAACAGATGTAGAGATATGTAGATTAAATAGTCATCTTATATATGGTGTGTCGCACTTGGCTTATGAGACATTGTTCAATTATCCAAAAGATAAGTCCTTAACATTTGACAAATCTGTGTTTGATGATTTAAAAATATCACATGAAATGCGAGAAACATGTCTGAAACTGGGAATTTTGACAGAAGATAAATGTCCTTCTTTATCTGTATCTAAACCTAAAAGCTCATTGTTCTCTTTCATTCACAAATCAATGCAAGAATTTATGGCTGCAGTGAATATTGGTATCAATTTAAATGCAAACATTGGTTTGTCAGATAGTACAGTAAATGTTGAATTAGCCAAGACGTTTATTAAAGGGGCATGTTCAACAGTAAATGACATATTAGAGCAATCAAATGTTATCATAATGCTATGTGGTCTTGAACCTAGATTAGCAACTAATGTTTCAAAATACATATATGATACAGTGTCAGAAGACTCTGGTGTTCAGGAATACAGGAGAACAATAAATAGACGAAGAGAAGACATTTTTGCAATTCGTGTTATGGTTTCTGAATGTGATACTAGACGTATTACTGATATTCAAAGGCTTATTTTTGAGTTAATTGAAGAATGCAATTCATCAGATATTCATGGAAGCCGTCCTGTATTTTATATAGGAGATTTTGTCTTTGATGAATGGAATCAGTCTTGTGATATTGTTTGTTCAGGTATTGATCAGCATCAAATTGTTCCTGACTCTGTTCTGTCTATTATTGTAGATGTCTTCAACACAAAAAATGTTAAATTTACAAAATATTTACCAATGTTTCATCATCTTGAAAAAATTACAATAGAATATGGATGTGTATCACGAAGGTTTAGTACACAAAGTGATAGTACACAGAGTAATGAACAGAGGATTAATGAGATAAACAATTGTGTATGTGAGACAATTAAAGTGAACACTTCAACATTAAAATCTCTGTCTCTATATAATGTCTCTTACGATGACGAGTATTACTCAGTGTATAAAACAGTTGTTAGTAACCTTCCTAGTATGATCAATCTTGTAGCAATAAGTATGAGATATATAACATTGAGTCATGATGATACTACTACATTTTGTAATTTTCTTGAGAGAACCAGTGATCTTGCACAAATACATCTTGAGTCTGTTAAATGTGAGTGTAGGAAGCAGCATGATGTACATTTATCAAAACATCAACAACTTCAGTACCTTTTTTTGAATGATGATGTAAGTGTGATGGATGCTGATACTACTAACCTTGAAATATTTAAATTTAGTGCATTGAAAGATAGTAATTATGAGAAAATATTTGATATTTTTAGAAAATCTTACAAATTAAAAGAACTTGAATTGTATGGAGATTGATAACAATAAATCTCAATTATATCATACCAACATAAACAAAAGAGACTAGTCACAGTATTACCATTGTTACACAATCTCAGTAAGCTTAAGTTAAAGTATTGTAGATTAACTGAACAATATAATACAGTCACCTTTAGAGATGAAAGAGTTTAAAGAACATTGAAGCTTTATTATGTCATAATGAGTTTGACAACATGGAAGAAGTTTGTTGATAGTCTTCCTCATATTCCTCATACTGTAGATGTGAGTGTAGAGAACTGTTATATAACAGGAGATGGTGAGGAGTTTGATGATGATTGGTTAACATTAAGAGGAGGGAAGGTAAATGATGCTACACAGTATGTAAGGGATAAGGATCAGTTATTTCTTGTTAAACGTGATAGTGATTATGATGATGATTTATGGTTATACTTTTCAACAAAAAAGTGATAAAAGTGTCCATTTAGTATACATGAAGTTAACATAGTCCATTTAGTACACATGTAGTGTACATAGTCCATTTAGTATACATGAAGTTAACATATAGTGTTAAAACCAAATTATTGCATGTTAAAAGAGATGATAACTTGGATTTTCATTTTTCAACAAAAAAAATGATCTGAATTTTTAACATAGTGAGAGAGAATACATGCAGTTAACATAGTGCTTAATCTAAATTATTTCATGATAAAAGACATAATTATTAAAATAAACATTATCAGCAAAAAAAATAATATTAAAGTTACATATTGATATGTTAAATAATGAATGTAATACAATATGATAGATAACAATCATCAAAAACAGTTCATTAAGTATCAATTTCTGATCATTGTAGTAATATTGAAATTGATGAAAGTAATATTCAAATGTGTATTTCAATAAATAAATGAAAGAAACGCAGTGACATATAAAGAAAATATAGGTAACTGTTTTTTTTAAAGATAAGGGATAGTTTGTGAAAAGTATGATTTGAAAAAGTAATAGGTTCTTTGAATTATAAATACATAAATAGATCAATAGATTAGCAAGTAAATAAATTAATGAATAAGTAAATATAATAAGTAATTTGAATGGAAATATCATAAAACAGAAATTTAATGTACAAGGTCAGAAAAAGTAAAAGATAAATATAACATTCAAATACCAGTTATATTGTATAATATATGATAGGATAAGGGAATGGTATATGTAATTAACAGTTATATGAGAAATATGTCAAGAGAATGGTATATATCAATACCACGTATATGATATATAGGACAAGGGAATGGTATATATTAATACCAGTTATATGATATAATGGACAAGGGAATGGTATATATGAATACCAATTATATGACATTTAGGACAAGGGAATGGTATATATAAATACCAGTTATATGATATATAGGACAAGTGTTTGGTATATAAAAATACCATAAATGTATATTATATGTTAAAGATGCAAAGGAAATGGTATATATGTTATATGATATATAGGAAAAGTGAATGGTATAAATGAATACCAGTTATATGTTATATAAAGCAAAGGAATGTTATATGTAAATTCCTGTTATACAATATTTAGACAATGGAATTATTTAAATTAACACCAGTTATATGATGTATAGGACAATGGAATGGTATATATAAATACCTGTTAGATGATACATTTGTATATAGGACAAGTAAATTGTTTCATTGAGATGAGGACCATTTACATGTTATATTTTAGAGATTCCTTCTTTGATTGTTTTATATTGTAAAAATTTACAAATTGTAATTATGGAAAACAATAAATGTGTACAAGTTAATACTGTTAGTCAGTATTATTCAAACAGTATCGTTAAAGGGTCTCCACTGAGGATAATATTTTCTTAATTTCTTGACATGATAGGACGGGAGTTATGTTGTTGAGGTTTCTTACTATTTGAATAAGATCTATTATTTTTCATGTATAAAATTTGTATGCAAAATTTCAGATTATTTGCTCACTTTGTTTTTCCAAAATACTAGTAATCATTTTAGCTTGAGTATTCAATGAATAACTAATGCTATAATAGTACTTACCGCATTGGCGTCAAACTTGGGTTACTTTTATGTGTGCAAGTTGGTATTTAAAAAACTACTGAATGATCATTTCAATTTACATTCTTGTTCTTTAACATGACTAACACAAATCCCATACCTCTCATATTTTTTTCCTCATATTTAGGCACCTTTTGCGATTTAAAAAATCTTGGTTAAGTTTTTACGTATAAGAGTGGATTAGAACTTCACACACATATATGAGAGTAATAGGAAGTCACTGTCCGAGCACATAGATATTTGACAGAATTATTTCCCTTTTTGAAGTTAGAAAATTCTGCATTATCCATCACTGTTGATAGTCAAGCACAATGTTCTGTCGACAGTGTTTAAATGTTTATAGCTAAAGTCCGTCTGAAAATTACACTTCATTAATATCGATTTTCAATTTTATTTCGAGTATATTTCTTTAGTATCATTTTTTCCCTTATTGAATATCCCGATTAATCTGTTTTGGATTTTCTATTTTTATTCTTTATTGTTTGGCTTTTGGACCTCAGTGGAGCTCCTTTAAGTGAACTATTTGCTGTTTGTGTTAGAATGATAATTTTAAACACTAGGCAAGTGTAGATATACCTTGCTGTAAATTTAGATGTACTAGTATATACTGTAACTACATAGAAAGTATAACATGATTTGTAAACAAAACATGTTATACACCATACATGTAAATATGAATTTTCGCTCGTCTCACCTGTCACAAAGTGACATATGAGCTATTGTGATCGCTTTTTGTCCGGCATCCGTCCGGCTTAAATTTTTACTTTAAACGACATCTCCACATAAACCTCTAAGCCAGTTTCATTAAAACTTCACATGAATGTTCCTTTGGTAGTCAACTTTAAAAATTCTTCAAAAAATTTAATTCCATACAGAAATCTGGTTGCCATGGCAACCGAAAGAAATAACATAAAAATTTTCTTTTAAATATAAACTGAAAGAGCTAGAGCTTAAATATTTGGCATGAAACATTGTTTAGTCAGTGTCTACCAAGTTTGTTCAAATAAATTCCCAGGGGTAAAAAATATGGGGGGATGTCATTGATTTTCCTTATACATACCAGTTCTCAGCTGTCCCTTGGGGATATATACCAGTTCTCAGCTGCCCCTTGGGGATATATACCAGTTCTCAACTGTCCCTCAGGGATATATACCAATTCTCAGCTGTCCCTCAGGGATATATACCAGTTCTCAGCTGCCCCTGGGGATATATACCAGTTCTCAGCTGCCCCTTGGGGATATATACCAGTTCTCAGCTGCCCCTTGGGGATATATACCAGTTCTCAGCTGTCCCTTAGGGATATATACCAGTTCTCAGCTGTCCCTTTGGGATATATACCAGTTCTCAGCTGTCCCTCAGGGATATATACCAGTTCTCAGCTGCCCTTTGGGGATATATATACCAGTTCTCAGCTGCCCCTTGGGGATATATACCAGTTCTCAGCTGCCCCTTGGGGATATATACCAGTTCTCAGCTGCCCCTTGGGGATATATACCAGTTCTCAGCTGCCCCTTGGGGATATATACCAGTTCTCAGCTGCCCCTTGGGGATATATACCAGTTCTCAGCTGCCCCTTGGGGATATATACCAGTTCTCAGCTGTCCCTTAGGGATATATACCAGTTCTCAGCTGCCCCTTTGGGATATATACCAGTTCTCAGCTGTCCCTCAGGGATATATACCAGTTCTCAGCTGTCCCTTAGGGATATATACCAGTTCTCAGCTGTCCCTTTGGGATATATACCAGTTCTCAACTGTCCCTCAGGGATATATACCAGTTCTCAGCTGCCCGTTGGGATATATACCATTTCTCAGCTGTCCCTCAGGGATATATACCAGTTCTCAGCTGCCCCTTGGGGATATATACCAGTTCTCAGCTGTCCCTCAGGGATATATACCAGTTCACAGATGCCCCATCCTGGGTAACCAATGCATACTTTGGTGCCTATACTCTACATTCATTGAATGTTATTCACCCAAATCAGTACCCACGGGTTCGGACAATGCTAAAATAAAGATTTAATGCTTTCAGACAGTAATGATATAACTACATTTTATTAACTGTATGTTAATTTTTTATGCTTGCGCATGTTAGTATATACCAAGATTAAGATATGATTTATGTTAACATATGTTACACTTGTCTGTTTGTTACATGAAATTCTGATTGAATGTATATAGTACATATGTAAACATATTATTTCATGTTAATAAATGTTTATTGTATAATTACATGCTATTGCAATCCTTTTATGAAAGTAAGATACTATTATTTTATATAAAGAAAGGTTTTGTGACATGTGACTATACGTACATTTGTTATACCCGTTTGCTTTAAAGGCCCATTAAGCCTTGAAAATGCAATCACTTTTATTTTTCAAAAAGCTGAATTGTTTTGTATCCAAAGAGTTAGTCATTGTCCATATACCTGAGCCATCATTTTGTTACTTTGAAATAAAAATTTACCATTAAAGGATTTGCCTAGCTTTTGAAATATTGTGCACTGAGAAAATGTAAATTTTAATTCAATCAGTTTAAATGTGAATGGGTAACCCATGCATATAAACAAATACTCTTCATTTGTGATGAATGTAGTTCAACCCAGTACCTGTGGATACATATGATGTTAAGACTGAAAATTAAATGTTTTCAGACAGTAAAGATATAACTACATTTTATTAAAGCTTACTTAGTTTGTATGCGTTGCTGATGTGAGTATAATACAATGTACCAGGATTAAGATATGTTTTATATATAAACATTTGTTACAAATTGTCTGTGCCTTTATTCTGAATGAATGAATGTATCAAGTGTATATGTATAAGCATATTATCACACACCCATTTATATATATACATGTTTGTTGTTTAAGTGTCATGCTATTGCAATGCTTTTATGAAAATAAGATAACATTATTTTATATACTGAACGATTTTGGGACATGTAATCCTA